GCCCAGGTAGTCTTGTCGCGTGTCCCTCCTCTTCTTTCTGAAGTCGATCACCATTTATCTGGCCTTATTCACATTCAGAAGCAAATTATACATTTCTCAAAACTCACTCTTTATTCCTCCTGCCCATCACCTTTGCATCTATCTGCTGCAGATTTGAGTATTTCTGTATGTGCCATGACTCCAAGTAGTACTGAATCAAGAATGAAGGCAGCACAGTCGCCTTTGAGACTGTATTAAAACTAGTGACTATGTTATACTCTTGCATTTAGTAGAAAGTGCAGGCCCCATATGAGCTTAGTCAGGTCACATATAGAGCAATGGTTTTGCTGACACACTTTCGTAACTCACAAGGGGAATCTTTCTTTCACCCACTTCTGCTGAAAGCTGTGAAAAACATGGGATTTTTCTGGTCTTTTGTGTCAACTAACTGCTCACCACATTTGGTCTCAGGGTGGTGGTTAACCAAAATAAGACTCTACATGGATTCCCAGTATGTTGTTGGTTTTAAACCACACAAAAAAACACACACAAAACGGTGCACACACATTTTGTTTTCTCTGTGGTTTTCAGACAGTTTCCATTAGGATACCAATTTACGGCCACCTCACATGCACACAGGATGTGTATGCAGTGACTATGAGGTGCTGTTAAAGAGTAGCCTCAACACTGCAAACATATTGAGATGTGCTTGTAGAAACATCGAGTCTGACTGCAACCAAGTCAAGCAAAGCTTCCGTAAACCATGCTGTATTTCTGTTCTGTAGTTGTACAGCTGTCTATTTTTAAGCTCCAAACTTGCAAAGTAAAATACTTGCAGCTTTGTGTCGATCAATTATTTCTTGATATGCTGTACTGGAAGGTAGGTATGTCTGAATTGATGGGCCCTCGTTTGCTATGCATTTGTAATACCCGAAATACAACATAACAAACATGAAGCACAGTTTGTTCATTCTAACAAGTTTCAAAGTCAATATTTGTTATGACCTCCTTTATTCTTTAACTCAGTCGGAACTCTCTTAGGCAGCTTTCTTTAAGTAGTCTTCAGGAATAGTTCTCCAGGCTTCTTGAAAGACATTCAAACCTCTTCTCTAGATGTTTCTGCCTTTTGTTCTCTTCTTTGTCAGGATGATCCCAAACTGCTTTAATAACGTTGAGGTCCAAGCTCTGGGGAGGCCAATCCATGACTCGTAGCATTTTTCATGTCTTTTCATGGAAAAGTATTGCTCAAGACCAAGAAAGTTTGATCCTGTTAGGGTTGAAGATGATTAAATAAAGCTCTTTTTATTATTTTTAGATACACAATGCAATGTGCTCATAATCGAGTTGGTGTTCCGTGTTTTTAGGGTCAAAAGGTTCAAAAAGCGCTATGACTGGGCTGAAATATTGAAGAGTTGACGTAGTAGCGTAGAGGGTTTTGCAGCATGCTTACACGTCACTGATAATGGTTATAAGGATATTCTCTGGGCCAAAGGGAGTCTGAACAAAATGTCATGAACTAGATATTAGAATCAGTAATATTAAAATGATCGCAGTACAAAAAAAAATTGTCGCAGTACAAAAACTGATCATCCTTGATGTGAGGGAGGCTGTTGTGTTCACATCACGGTCCAGCGCTGTAACTTGTAATCAGTCATCTATTTATACTGACATTATCTTGGTTAACACTAAATTGCATAGTGGCCACAACTGAGGTGTAATAAAGCCGAAGATACTGAATGAGAGGAAAAAATAACCTAAACTTATGTGCGTTGGCTTGTGTGACAACTACCCCCAGTAACTTTCCACTTCCAGTCTGTAACTTTCCACTGTAGTAGAGGCCGCTGTTAATTTACTTAACTGAGTGTTGGCATGCTTGTTGTTGTGGCTTTAGCGTATGCAGTTTGCTTCACGCACCATGACCTGGTTGCTCCTTGTTTGACATTGTTTTCTTTAGACAGCTCAATGTTTGCTGGTTTTATAGTAGCTCAAACATTTAAGAACCTCATGTCCATGTTTCTAATGAATTACTATCACAATATCCGTCACAACAGCTGATAATAAGCACATTTACAGTGTAAACCTGAAGTGTATTATGACAGTTAAGAGGTTTATTTAGTAGTTCGTCATATTATTTCAATATGTTAACATTCATCATTCACAGTAAAGTATAGGTGAGGCTCATAGGTGTCATTAGTTATGCAGAAGTCAGCAGAATGAAGGTTTTTACTCAGTGATCCTGCAAGAAAGATTTCTGTTCTCAAGAAACAAGTATGTGTTTAAATTGTCACAGCTATAGTTAAAATAGCAACCTGAGGAAAAACACCTAAATTCACCACAACCCAGGAACATATTTGTGCCAGTTTATCTTGTTAATATTTCACTATGCATGTGAAAATTGAGGCCTTCAGTACATTGAAGTGCAGCCCACACTTGTTGGAGTATTGCATTGTCAACAAAAGTGGTAGAAAGATGCCCGGCTTGGGTGTTCTTATGTATTGCTTGAGCTGGTTGCAGGAATAACGCGAGTGGTAATATTGCTGGAAATTAATCCATCTGCTGGATGTCTGTCTTAAAATTATGTTCTGTAGTTATAAACAGATATAACTCACATGTTCCCCTCATTCTCAATAAAGCAAATCAGGTCAAAGAAAGCTTGTAAAGTTTGCAGTGTTCACCAGTTTCCAACCACTGCGCACCATTAACATGTGATAGTCCTGATATATACACACATAAATACTTAAACCCTCAGTGTGCTTAAAATGGCAGTTACATTAAGCAAAGATCAATTTATAAAATAATTATATAAAAGACACTTGTTTTTAGTAGTTTGTTTTTTAAAAAGTTTTTATTGTAAAATATGCTT